AATCAAAAAGCTCAATCTCAAGGGTCCCGGTCATTAAAACTCTGCCACTCAAGCCATATCTCGGTATCAGAAAGCTCAATCACAAGATCGGACCCAAAATCAGATTCCTTGAAGTTTTTTTCATGACATCCTACTGAATCAAAAAGCTCAATCTCAAGGGTCCCGGTCATTAAAACTCTGCCACTCAAGCCATATCCTGGTATCAAAAAGCTCAATCACAAGATCGGACCCAAAATTAGATTCCTTGAAGGTTTTTTTCATGACATCCTACTGAATCAAAAAGCTTAATCTCAAGGGTTTGGCATCCTACTGAACCATGACAATGAAGGTTTTTTCATCAGCCTGTGAAGCAAAAGAATCGAACCCGAGCTGGGTTCCGTGGAACCCAATTGCTGGGTTCCTCAAACCCAGCAGATCTGGGTTCCACGGAACCCAATTGGCTGGGTTCCATCGAACCCAGTTTGCTGGGTTCCGTCGAACCCAGTTTGCTGGGTTTGGTGGAAGAAGAGAAGAAGAGAAAGAAAGAAAGAAAAAGAAAAAAGAAAGGAAGAAGATGGATCGAAAGAGGGGAAGAAGATGTATCAAGAAAGGAGACAGGGGTATTAAGGTAAATTTATAATTTTTTAATTTTTTTATTAAGGCAAATTTAGTTTATGAGGTGGCGTTGACACGTCATAAAAAAAAGTCCAGATCAACACTTTTTAAAGTTATTTTTGCCATGTCATTAAAAAAAATATAAAAAATGCCACATAGCGGAGTTAACAGTCGAAATTAACAGAAGGACTAACGGTGTGCATTTCTTAAAGTTGAGAGATCAAAAAAGTGCAAAAAATTATTGAGGGACTAAAAATGTGCAACTCACTAAAGTTGAGGGACCTAATTTAGCATTTAACCTTTCTTATTTCTATTCCAAGTCCTACTTCTATTTCAATTAGGGTTTCTAAAATCCTATAAATACCCATCTAAATTCAGAATGAGGAGAGCTTGGTGGAGGCTGGTGTCAGCCCTCTTTTGGGTACTCTTGGAGGTCAAGATAGAGGATCTATCAAGGAGAAGATCAAGGATTTCAATTACCTCAAATTAGGTTTTGTTTTTCCTTAGACATTCTTATGTTCATAACTTTGATTTCATATTTTATTCTTTTTATTATGAACTAATTTATTTTATTAAGGTTATGATGTAACCTAATCAATTCAATAAAGATTTTGTGATTTTATACTTTCAATTAAAGTTATTCGCGTGAGGAGTTTATATTATTGAACTTAATGCATTGGAAGTCTGATCACCTTTCAATTGATTTAGTGATTTATGCATAAACTTGAGAAATAATTGCGTAGATTAGACCAATAATAATATAAACCGTGTGCTAGACTATGAGATCGAGAGGGAATTAGCTCACATGTGGTAGTGGAGGAAGATAAGAGAGTTAGGAGCTCCCCTTTCTTAAGCTAGAGGTTTCCATAGAATTTAATGCTCATTAGTTGGTTTAAAATTACATAGAGATATGATTAATTTAACAAACAGTGAAGGATTAACTTGACTTGAGAAAGCTAGTTAATTAATTTAGGGAAATCCACCATCACATGCAATAACACTTAATAAATTGGTTTTGAAAGTATATTAATCCAGAATTTATATTGATTGATTATGGTGAAATCAATGCCTTAGTACCTCCTATCTTGATTAGGTTTATTTGTTATTTTCTTTTTATTATTTTTAATTAAAGTTTCTTTATATTTGATTGTTCAAATAAATTTAGATTAATTATTTTGGTACTTAGTTAGACACAATCCTCGTGGGTTCGACACTCTTCTCATCATTATATTACTTGAAACGACTAATATACTTGTTAAGGTGATTTTAGTGCATCAATTACTAGTCAATTCCAACTGAAAAACAACTTTCATATAAGTATTGAATCTTATCCCATAACTCAATATATGTTGTGGTCTGGATTAGAGTGCTGATGATTAGAACTGAAATGGGGCATTAGAATTTCCCAAAAATTGAACAAGCATGATTCACAGACGTGGATAGAATAATCATGTAAAAGAATCTAGTCTTATAACATTATTCATAATTAATGGCATTTCAATATTCATATCCTTCAATTTTTCTTCTTGTGTATTATTCAGTATATATGACTTCCCAATTAGTAGCAGAGTTAGGCTTTTCAATTCATACTCCATTAAATGCAGTTAAGATGACAACATTTACATAGATAATACACATAGTTTTCTGTGAAAAAAAATCAAGAAATAAGCATGAAGAAATATTGTTTTCTATGTATAGTTAGTGGGTCCCATTGTAGCTCTTATTTTGCTGCTTGGTTCACATCAGGTATATGTGATGGTTGGTCCAGGAAAAATGAAGATTGAAACAAATAATCAAGAGATATGTCAAGAGTTGGAAGTTCCATTTTTAGCAATTAAGAGATTATGTGGTTGTTGTTACATTAGTGTCTTTTTTGTAATTTGAGTTCTTAATAGACTGCTTAATGCCTTTTATTTATTATATTACTTTTACATTTAATTACATGGCTTATTAATCTTCTAGGAGGTTTTGGCATAATTTTCAATATACTAAAGTAGATAACTCTTTATGTACGATGGAAGAGTAAATAACTAAATATTACTTTAGGTTGTGCAGAGAAAACTACCATTTTTTTTTTTATTTTTTTATACAATTCTGCAGTTTACCTTTTTTTTTTAGTCATGTTACAAATGTAAAATAAATTTGGTCCTGCCTATAGAAAGTTTAATGGACCTTTGAGTTAAGTTTAATTTTGTTTCAATAATCTCTGTAGGCTGGTCTTTGCCTTTTTTGCTTTTTAGAGAAAAGATATTCATATGATTCCATTTCTCTACTTTTTATTGTCTGCAGTCATAGCAACTATAATATTTTTATATAAACTTACAATCCATAGGCATTCATTATATGGCACTCTCAATTGTATGTTTTGCCTCTTTTTTTCTTGCAATTTCAATAGGCTCCCCAAGCAGGTTTAAAGTTTTGCTACAATTTCTGCAAATGTTATTCATAAATTTTTTTCATGACTATATTCATATACTTTTTGCCTTTTTATCTTACCGATGGCTAACCAACAAATACTTGACAGGTTATAATGCAGTAACCTATTTGCAAATAGTTAAACTTCCTGTATAATTCAATGGCTTATCTTTTTTCCATGTTGTTATTGAAAACAACCTTAAGCTCAAGAATCTTATTCTCTTGCACTTTCCTCATCTACTTTTTGTCTGGTATTGTCAGCCAAGCTTACATTCTTCATCCCAGACCAAGTTGTTTAAATTATACAAAAAGATAGAGGTTCACACATCCTCTGGATATGTGCAGAAGGAAGAATCATCATTGACATATAGCTTGTTGCATTAATTCGCATCCTAGCTGTTCAAGCAGTGATTGTGAAACTTGCTTTATATCTTCACATACAGGTCTTTGTTTTCCCTCATTCTTTCCTCACTTGAAAATAGAATTGACCATAATATATCGTTTTAATAGAATAAGTAACATAGTTTGTCCTGGATACTACATTCTATTGACATTTTATAATATATCCCTCCTAATAATGTAAGCAATTCTTTCAAGGGTTATCCCATGACTGCATCACCTATACTGCTTAACTCTGCTTTTTTTGGCATTTCCAGACCCGTGTGCTTAGGGGACTAGCTGGCATTTTAAAACCCCTAACTTTTGCAACAGCATTGATAAATTTCTTCAATTGTTATAGCATTACTTAAAGCAAATGATTCTCTTTATTTTGATGAGTACTATACTCTCTTTTTGGATGTTTTCTGCAATAATTCAATTTCTTGTAAACCAAAGTAAGAGTGTCTGTCCTATGTTCCAAATGGATTTTTGAAGCATATACAGACAAGATATTTGGAATTAGATCCTATACAGAACAGCTGTAAAGCACAATTCATGTTTGGATTGAGGTAAATGAGGGGAAAGGAAAGGAGAGAATTTCTTTGTTTAATTGGAGGAAAACTGTTTTCTTTCCTTTATTTCTCTCAATCCAAACATGCAGTAACTTCTTAATATGCTTTGACTCTCTAATTTGCCTTTGACAGGCTTTCTGGACTTGCATTTCACTTCTTGAAATAGCATATGGTGTTGCTTGGAACAGTATCTTCCTACACCTGGAGCTAGATCATCAATGTATGATTTTTTTTTTTTTTTTTTGAAAGGCACATCACTGACTCCATTGAATAGATCCTTTGAGTTGGCATGCAGTGATTATGTGTAGTGACAATCTAATATTTACAGTACTTAGCTTAAAAAGTTGTGTTTGTTTCAAACCGTAGCAGCTATAAAGTGATCGTGTATGGTGGAAACCTGATGGCCCAATATTGCAACACAACAGAGAGAGACCCTTTCCATCCTCTTTTGCCCCCCTGAAACTAAGGGCTTGCCTTAAACCCCACTTCTCTACTTGATGCCGAACTTTGGGCAGGTCATGCGTATATAAAAGATTCCTTAAAATACCATCGACATCTTGGTTTAGTGGTTGCTTTTTGTAGACATGTTTAAGTAGAAGCTTTTTTATTCTTTTATTTAAAAAAAAAAAAAAATCACTGAGACCTTGGACTGATTGCATTTCATTTTCAAGACCTTGAGAACATAACTAGGGAAGGGCCTTAATCACTGAGAACACAACTGGTGATACTAAGGTCTTAACCATTAGTGTTGTATATCACATCATAATAATGGGTATATTTTGGAGGTCAAATGGTGCATAGCAGAATCCTAGTCCCACTTTATCTTAAATATTATCTTCGACAAAATGATGCACCCAAACACGATCTTATCAACTGGGGAAAGTTTGATTCTTGGGAGCAATTCCCTCCATAAAAAGTGCATATCGATTGTATAAAACCAATTGAAGAAATAGGATGAATGTATCTGTTTGCTGCCCCTAGCTAATAATTGAAGGAATATATGAAACAAATGATATTAATTTTGAGACATGATCTCGCCAAACCATCCCTAGAAATAGGGGGCATAATCAATGAGGCAAAGCGAATCGTTTAGGTTTATGCATTAGTCAGTGTACACGTCCTCATGTTAAGTTTTGGTGAAGGCCTATTAGGTTGTTGTCTACAAGAACTTGGGCCTATTTGGTTATTTTATGGTTTGTGATGTTACTTGTGACTAAGCAAGTGATGTACTTCTTACTTCATTTTTGTTTTTTTCTTTTGGTTTTTCACATATGAACGTGAGTCGTACGTGAAATATATCATTCACGTCGAAATAGAAAAAATTCATGAGAAATTTGCCTCTCGTCTTTGTTTGTTCCAAAATTAAACGGTATAAGAAAAAGAAAAGGGGCAAAAACAAATTAACATGAATAAGTGCTAAATATAGAACGTAGAAGCCTTTGTAAGCTCTCCTTAAAATATTAAAACAGTTCTATTGGACCCAAAAAAAAATGTAATTGTGTTTAAATAAATAAATAAATAATATGGTTGAAAAAGAACAGAGTGCGGCTTTTTGTCTTTCCATTATTATTATTATTATTATTTTATTTATTTTCGCCAAGTCTCCCACATTGTTTCTAATGCTGGAAAATAATTGTCTTTTTTAATAGTTGTTGATTAGCTTACTAACTCTTGCCAAATTTCCAATGGTGCCATTTTGCAGTTGACCTTAGAAAAATGTGTTCTTTGATTTTGAAAGCCTTGGTACCACTTTTCCTACCTGCTCCTTGCTAAATGCAGAAATCTCAGCCCAAGACAAACGATTATTGCTTCAGCTAATTAATTAGAATCAAGATTGTCAGTGACTCACGCATGCAGATTGTTGGTATGCATGAGATCATATTTCTGTGTTTATCCTGATTGTTAGACTCACCGGTTAGTAAAGTCAGACAAATAAAACTAATTATAAGTGTCGTTAATTAGCACTTTTTAAATCATTTGGTGATTGATTATATAATAAAAAATATTTTTTTTAAATACTCTTTAATTGTGTTCAAGTTTGAATTTAAAATATCAATCCAACAAGAAAAAACACAAATTGTTACCAACTAAAATGCCTTTTTCAATGAATTAAAATTTATTAATTACGAATACAAGGGCTATTTCAATTTATAAAACAATAAATTATCTTAAGATGTTGACTACCTAAAAGATTTTGTATAAATAAAAATACAACTTTATAAAACTTTTATAATTAAGGATATAATATATTTTTTTTCTCATCAAGCTTATTATATATCTTATAAAAGTTTCAAGAATATAATTTTTTTGATTCACTAACTAAGAATATGGCCGTGCACATGCATCCACTTAATCATATTTTTTAGCAAAATTGTTAAAATGTAGTAACATTGATCGGTAAAAAAAACATATCATTAATTAAAATTTTTTTTAAATTATTATTTTTTTATTTCTATGAAATCTCGATCATTTGATATTGATGGTCTTATAGGGATAGGATATAAAAACAAACTCTTGCATATTTTGCTCCCATGCGGCCAAGCGCCCATTTCCTTCAAGTAATGTGAGCGATTCCTTCAAGAATTATCTTATGACTGCATCACCTGTAATGGTATACTCTACTTTTTCTGACATTTCCAGACCCATGTACTTAGAGACTAGCTGGCATTTCAAAGCCCCTAATTTTTGCAATAACAGTTTATGACTGGGTTTGAAGTAAAATTCATCTTTTAATCGAGGGGAAAGAGGAAAAAAGAGTAGAGGAATTCCTTTGTTTAATCAGAGGAAAACTGTTTCCTTAATTTCTTTAATTTATGTCAATCCAAACATGTGATAAATTGTTAATATCTTTTGACTCTCTAATTTACCTTTCGCAGTTTTTCTAGACTTGCATTTCACTTCTTGAATTAGCATATGGTGTTGCAATAGCATTAGATCCGATTTTAGCAAGAAAATCAACAGTCTCCACCTTCCAACATTTGATCACCCGAATTTGGACTTGTAATTTTTTTTTTTAATACGGAAAGCACCATCAATTAAATTGCTACAGTTGCACCTGGCCCCAGGCAATGAAATTTCTAGTTGACGGTTTCCTTGTATGTGATGCTTTCGCTCTTACACCTTCACTCTCTTGGTAACTTGCAGAGCATTGTCTTTAATAATCAACTTTAGAATTTTGGATACGAATCGACACATCACCCACCCCGTCCACATTGCTCGAATTTCTCTTTAACGTTCAAATATTATGGAGGCCGGTCTGCTTTGATATCGAGATACATTTTGAGAGAGTGTTTATCAAAGTTTTAAAAATATTTATTTTAAAAGTAATTTTTTTCATCGTAAATTTAAAAAGTTTATTGAAAGAAGATTTAAAAATTGACCTTTAAATTAATTTTTTAATATTTTTTGAGAATTTGAATGTATTACATTTTCAAAATTTATTTAATAATTATCTTTTAATGTAACTTTTAAACAAGTTTTGAGAGAATTTAAATACATAA